AGACTGCCGACATGCCCTGCAGATTGGTTTTCTCGGCCGGGTCTGTCTCCGGAAGACAGAAACCACACAGCAGGTGATACAGGGAAACTTCAGTGTAAAGAATGACTAACCAGGGGAATGGGGAATTGGCCAACGAGAAGAACTCGGAGGAATATGAGACTCTAGGATTTAGGTAGCAGTCTCCGGTCCTGGGACTGAGAGAGAGCCCCTCCTCGAGCCAACCTCCAGACCTGGAGAGGGTGCGGTCATGACTCAGGGCTACAGACAAGTTTGCTGCAATGCTTCACCCGGGGGGGTCCTGCCTGAGATCCGCCCGCTGCTGCGCGAAGCTGCGCGAGGAGGTGCCACAGAAGCCGTGCATGAGGAGGAGCCTGGCTGGCTGCTGTCTTCCTTTGCACTGCTTGAGGGAAGGTGACTGACCAGCACCCCAGTGGCTGACGCTCCCCTGGGAGCCCCCCCTCGGGGCTCCCCCCCAGGGGCAGGGGGTGTGCCATGGAAACTGTTTGTGGGGCACTCACTGCAAGCTGCTGGGCGGACCTGGGAAGCCATCCAAGGCGATTCATCCACGGCGATGAGCCAAATTATTAATATGGGGTCAAGCGTTTCATTTCGTAAAAAAGAAAAAGAAACATTCTTAGTTTCAGTCTAGCCACCTGCTTCTGTGCTAAATTCCTGAAGTGCTACTTGCAGTCAGCCTAGACTTTAAAAAATTGCCTGATGGTATTTTTTAGCTCATCCCCCACCCACCTCCCTCCATCAACCCTCAGTTTGTTCTCTGTAGTTAAGAGTCTCTTATGGTTTGTCTCCCTCTTTTTTTTCCTTCCCTTCCCCTATGTTCCTCTGTTTTGTTTCTTAAATTCCACATGTAAGTTGTATGTATGTAATCATATGATGTTTGTCTTTCTCTGATTTATTTCACTTAGCATAATACACTCTAGTTCCATCCGTGTCGTTGCAAATGGCAAGATTTAATTCTTTTGATGGCTGCATAATATTCCATTGTGTATATATACCACCTCTTCTTTATCCATTCATCTGTTGATGGACATTTGAGTTATTTCCACAGTTTGGCTATTGTGGACATTGCTGCTATAAACACTGGGGTGCGTGTACCCATTTGAATCAGTATTTTTGTATCCTTTGGGTAAATACCTAGTAGGACAATTGCTGGGTCATAGGGTAGCTCTATTTTTAACTTTTTGAGGAACCTCCACACTGTTTTCCAGAGTGGTTGCACCGGCTTGCATTCCCACCAACAGTGTAGGAGGGCTCCCCTTTCTCCACATCCCCGCCAACATCTGTCATTTCCTGACTTGTTAATTTTAGCCATTCTGACAGGTGTGGGGTGGTATCTCATTGTGGTTTTGATTTGGATTTCCCTGATGCCAAGTGATGTTGAGCATCTTTTCATGTGTCTTTTGGCCATCTGTATGTCTTCTTTGGAAAAATGTCTGTTCATGTGTTCTGCCCATTTCTTGACTGGATTATTTATTTTTTTGGGTGATTTTGATAAGTTCTTTAAATATTTTGGATACTATAACCCTTTATCAGATATGCCATTTGCAAATATCTTCTCCATTCCGTAGGTTGTCTTTTAGTTTTATTGATTGTTTCCTTCACTGTCAGAAGAAGTTGCTACAGCTGAGGTCAAAGAGGTTGCTGCCTGTGTTTTCCTCTAGGATTTTGATTGTTTCCTAGGTCTTTCATCCATTTTGGATTTATTTTTGTGTATGGTATAAGAAAGTGATTCAGTTTCATTCTTCTGCATGGGGCTGTCCAATTTTCCCAACACCATTTATTGAAGAGACTTTTTTCCATTGGACATCCATTCCTGCTTTGTCGAAGGTTAGTTGAGTATAGAGTTGAGGGTCCATTTCTGGGCTCTCTATTCTGTTCCATTGATCTATGTGTCTGTTTTTATGTCAGTACCATACTGTCTCGATGATGACAGCTTTGTAATAGAGCTGGAAGTCTGGAATTGTGATGCCTCCTGCTTTGCTTTTCTTTTTCAAGATTGCTTTGGCTGTTGGGGGTCTTTTGTGGTTCCATACAAAATTTAGGATTGTTTGTTCTAGTGCTGTGGAAAATGCTGGTGGTATCTTGATAGTGATTGCATTAAAATCCCTGACAGTTTTGATAGACATATTTAAAGTGTACGGTTTGATCAGTGTTGGTGCAGGTACACACCTGTGTAGCCCCCATCATCAGGATAGAAGAAGCAGTGCCTGAGAGAAGGGTCCTGAGAGGCAGGAGGAAGACAAGTGATAGGGCACAGGGTGAGTGGTGGTGGGGAACTTGCTTTTGCAGGTGTCAGAACATGTATAAAAGCTACTGCAATGAAGTCAGAGTGGTGCTGGTCTCAGAACAGAGAAGTAGATCCAACGAAGAGCAGACAAGCTAGAAATATAGCCCTTCATTGACAAAGGGGAAGTGAAGGCACGGCAATGCAGTGAAAAAGGTTCCTGACATGGTAGATGCTGGGTGTTCTTAATCTAAGGGGATGGGAGTCCATAAATAATCATCTTAAAATAGTGTGGGCCTGATTCAAGGTTTTACAGGTTCAGAAGAGGACTAGAGTGGATAACAGAGGATGTAACACTTGAGAAGGATCTTGAATAATAAATGAGTTTGAGAAATAGGAATAGGAATCGGGGAGATGGAATTCCTGGCAGAAGGAACTGCATAGGTAAAGGCAGAGGGATGCATGGTGTTTTTACAGAAGTAGAATAATGCCCCCCTCCCCGAAGCATCTGAATCCTACTCCCCAGAACCTTTGATATATTAGGTTACTGGCAATGAAGAATTAAGGTAACACATGAAGGGGCGCCTGGGAGGCTCAGTCGTTAAGCGTCTGCCTTCGGCTCAGGTCATGATGCCCGGGTCCTGGGATCGAGCCCCACATCGGGCTCCCTGCTCTGCGGGAAGCCTGCTCCTCCCTCTGCCACTCCCCCTGCTTGTGTTCCCTCTTCTGCTGTGTCTCTCTCTGTCAAGTAAATAAACAATAAAATCTTTAAAAAAAAAAAAAGGTAGCACATGAAATTAAGGTTAACCAGATGACCTTGAGATGCAGAGTTTTTTTGGGTTATCTGGACCCAGTGTAATCATAAGGGTCCTTATGGAGTGGAGGAGTAAGTGGAGGAGGCAGAAGAGGGAGAGCCTGAGAAATGGCAGCATGAGAAGCACCCAGCCTGAGTTGCTGGCTTTGAAGATGGAAGAAGGGCCCCAAAGCCAGGAGGACAGGTGGCCTCTAGAGGCTAGAAGAGGCAAGTAATGGATTTTCTTCTAGAGCCTCCAGAAAGGGACACAGGCCAGCCAACAGCTTCATTTGAGCCCAACAAGTCCCATTTTGGACTTGTGACTCCCAGAACCGCAAGATGATGCACTGGTGTTGTGTGAAGCCACTGAAGTTGTGGTAATTTGTCCAAGCCTCCGCAGAAAGCCAATGCAAGCACTGAGTCAGACTGGTGGAACGTCAAATCCAAAGGGAAAATGGAGGGGGGCGAGGGCCAAGTGGGGGTCAGCGGCCAGGTCACAGGCTCCTCGGATGTCCTCTGAGGGGCTGGCGCCACAGGGGAGGGCAGTGACTCCTGATTTAGGGTCATCCGTGGCCGGGAGGCAGTTGGGGGGTGTGCCCTCTCTCATGCAGTCATGTGGGCTTCCTATTGGTGGCCTCAGTCTTCAGCACAGTCTCTGGAAATGACTGTCGTCGTGCGGGAAGGGCCACGTGTTCTCTACGTTACCTGCCCTTCTTATCCTTTTTATTTCGGGTTTCCACCAAGTTTTGCTTAACCCCCACTCCCCTCTTATGGTGCAGCTTGACAAGGGTGTCATGGGCCAGAGGGGGCTCCACGGGAATAAGAGCCACCAGGAGGAGAGAGTTCGGAGTGGGGGGTGGCAGGGGAGCCGTGGAGGCCACACAGGGAGGGACTGGGGGCCCCTAGACACATCATCGGTGACAGATGCTCCCCAGAATGGTCCAGAATCCAGGCCGGAAGGTGGCGCCTGGCTCCTCAGGGGCCTGTCCCATGCCCACCATCCTTACTGCTGTCACAGGGTCTTGGGGCATGGAAAACCCCTTTGCAGAGGTGACAGAGGGCGTCTCTCCCTTGTGACCGAAAAAGACAAGAACATTCAAATTATTACTGGTTATTATTGTTGTGCACCCTTACCTGTGGTTTTGCTTTCCACGGCTTCAGCGAGCCGCGAGCCACTGCGGTCTGGAAGCCGGTGATCCTCAGATGCACCGTCGGGAGTAGCCACACGCTGTATCACTCGCCTCCTGTCATCTCATCACAGAGGGACTCACTCACCTCCCGTCATCACAGGAAGAAGACTGAGGACAGTGCAGGGAGCTATGTTGACAGAGAGAGAGACCACATTCACCTACCCTTTATTACAAAATACTGTTTTAATTGTTCTAGTTGATTACTAGGTATCGTTGTTAATTGCCTACTGTGCCTAAGTGAAAAATTAAACTTTATCGTAGGTATGTGTGTATAGGAGAAAGGATAGTATAGTTACGGTCAATACTGTCCGGGTCTCGGGCATCTGCTAGGGGTCTGGGAATGAACCCCCTGTGGATGAGGGGGGTGTATTATTATATCAGATTATATTATATTACAGTCATTACATGTAAGTCTCTTGTTTAAAGCTCATCGGACCCATTTAATTAATTCTAGGGCTCAGGCAGATCAACCCATAATTATTTTTGTGTTCGCCCAAAAGGATTTTTGTTGCCGACAGCAAGCAACGTGGGTGTTTGTTATTTGGTGGCAGAGAGAGCCCGGTTAAAAGCCACGTCAGCTCTAGGAGCTGCTACTTTACTCAAATGTTATTCTCCAAGTCGTAGTGGGTCTTGCCTTTTGGTGCACTCCTTATGTGGATTTGCCATTTTAAAGCTAATCAGAATTCCCTTGATGCTGTGCATTGTGAGGTCAGAGCTGAACGGACACTGAGGCCCCCCACCCCTCCTGACTCACTCCAGGTGACCCTGGGTGACAGCTGTGTGCTGAGACGGCGGGGGTTGGCGCCCTTGTAGGCTCTGAGGCAGGTGGCAGGGGCAGCTGGGCAAGTTCTGCCCAGGTCTTCAGACCCTGCTTGAAGCCCCTTGGTGAGGAGAGAAGGAAAGACTGGTTCTGAGGTAATGAGTTGGGATTTCTGTTGCCATCTATGATCTGTCGGATGCTCAAGGGGGTACAGGAACACACCCCTCCTAATGCACTTCTGGGTGTCTCTTAAGAAAATGCAAGGATTGCGGGTTCTGTGCCAATCTATGTGGCTAAAGGGTCATTCCTGTCGAGAGTGGTTAGAATAGGGGGTGGAGGAGGGAAAGGTGGAGAACGGGAGGCAGGGTGCTGCCCAGGCCTGGGCTGTGGGTGGTGTGTCTGATTGTGATCCAAGGCGCTATCCTGGGCATCTGAGGTTGGTTCCCTCATCCTGAGCACCTGGCAAGTTGAGAGAAAAATAGGCAAAATAAAGTCAACACAGAGCGTTTCCATGTCCAATATCCAAACTGTTCCATATTTCTGGAAGTCCAGTAAGCCTAGGAGCCAGGACAGAGAAACGGGCATTTGGGTTCTACAATCAGAAAGAGGTTGCACATTTGGATGGACAGCCAGACACTGGGGGAAAAGCCTCTTAGTGTCTATGTTATCTGTTGTAAAACAAAAGTTTTCAGGCTTCTCATTGACACTGCAGGGGAGGGAGGAGCTGAAATATTTCTCTAGAACAAGGAACAGCAGGGGAACCTCACCAGTGCTAATGTGAGCGGAGCACACCGTCGTGGGTGCTGCCTTGTGCATGCTCTGGAAGCAGGAGTGCTTGTAAGGAGACCTCCCCTCAGGCCCTCTAACCTGAGGTCTCCTGTCGACCTGTGGCTCATCACCTCCTTATCCTGTGCTCAGAGTGTTGGGAGAACCGAGCCTTCTTCCCAAAGACTCCTAGACTCATTGCCTTTGGAGAAAACGTCCTTAAGACGAGGATCTGGGGGTGTGGTGACCAGTGACAAAGCTGTGGGGAAGGGGACACTGAGGATTTAGTTCATCGGGACTGGCTTTTCATTTGTTTCCTTAACCAAAAGTATTAGCCGTTTATTGTTTCAAGGCAGTAATTCTGTGGGTAACCAATCATCCAATGCCTACTGCCATATGTCCTTGAGCCTCAGAAATTGTCAATGGTATTAAGATGGACCATTCATTTAGAAGAGCAATGTGGGAAGAATTAAAAGAAAAACCAAGAGACCAATGGACCCACTGACTGTAGGACTTGTTCTAATATCAGAATCGTTCAAATGTGAAAGGAATTAAGTGTGCTTTTTAGAATCGAGGTGAAAGTTCAGACACCAAAGTCTGATGTGGGGGTGCGGCTCCCCACACGTCCAAGAATGCTCCGGACACCACCCGGGGGTCCTACAGCTCAACTCAATTCTGATACTATCTACCTGGAAGTAGCATCAGGTCCCATGGGTTCAGGGCTCAGTCCCACAAGCCTGCCCCGCACCCCAGACGCTAATGGTAGATCCAGGTGGTCATCTGCGCTTTTGACCAATCAGCTATAAATCAAAGGTTCCCATGACCCCCTCCTTGGGTTTGATTTATTTGCCAGAGTGGCTCATAGAACTCAGGAGACAGTTTACATACTAGATTACCTGTTTATTATAAAAGGGTAGAACTCAGGAACAGCCAGGTGGGAAAAAAATGTGTAGGGCAGGGTATGTGGGAAGGGGTGTAGCATCCAGGACCTCTCTCTTGGTGCACCATTCTCCCCAAATCTCCGCGGGCTCACCAGCCTGGACGCTATGTGAACCCTGTCCTTTTGGGTTCTTATGGAGGCTTCATTACAAAGGCATGACTGATGAAATCACTGGACATGGGTGATTGAACTCAGATCTCTAGCCCCTCTCCCCTCCCTAGAGCTGGGGGGTGGGGCTTGAAGTTCCAACCCTCTAATCACAGGTTGGTTTCCCTTACAACCAGTCCCCATGCTTAGGGGCTCTCCAAAGGTCACCTTGTTACCATAAACTCAGATGTGGGGGGAAAAGGTTCGTTATACAAAAGACAACCACTTCACCTTTACTCCCCCTGGAGCTGTTTCAGAACTAAAACAAAACTAGATATTATAACAAAAGATGCCCCTATGGTTCTTATATAGGAAATTCCAAGTTTTGGAACTATGTGCCAGGAACAGTGGACAAAGGCCAAATATTTATTTCTTATTATAAATCGCCATCTCACATTTGGTTAGTGGTATGAGCATTTATTTATCTGTTTCTCACTTTTCTATTGGGTTGCTCCTCTTTTTCTTATGGTTTCGTTTTTATTATCCTGAACTTATTATAAAATGTCTAATAAAAACAAAAAGGTATGAAAATTCCACAAATAAACTTACTGATTCACCAGACACTTAAAAATATCATTACTAATGCAATTGAAATCTGCATCTAATTTTTTAAAAAGATTTTATTTATTTGACAGAGAGCGAGAGAGAGAGAAAGAGAGAAAACACCAGTGGGGGAGAGGGGCAGAGAGAAAGGGAGAAGCAGACTCCCTACTGAGCAGGGAGCCTGTCAAGGGACCCTAGGATCATGACCTGAGCCGAAGGCAGACACTTAACCGACTGAGCCACCCAGGTGCCCCATCTCTTAATGATTTTTAAAGAGCCTTTTATATATTATAGTAACCACCCTGTGGCCATTTTATATATTGCAAATGTTTTACCATTTGTCCTTCATCTTTTAATTTATCTATGATTTTTTTTTGACATGGACATTATATGTCTTCATGTCATTAGATGTCAATCATTTCCTTTATAGTTTTGGACTTTTCTGTCACGGCAAGAAAGACCTCTTCACCTGAGGATAGTGTAAGCACTCTCCAAAATTCTCCTCTACTTGTATGATATTGTTTGCAGTTAAATATTTCATCTATTTGGAATAGATGGTATGTGTTTATGTGTATGTTGAAGTAAAACTACAACTCTGTATTACCAAGAGAAATTGAGTATTGCTGTTAAACATCAAATTGGTCATGTGAAAATAGATTGCCCTAACTTACAATTCTGGTGTTACACATGAGGGTAATACCGCCCCCCGTGATTTTTGAAGCTGTCTCTTTTTGAAAGCATCTTATCATACAAAAGTAGAATAGTGTAATGAACCCACCACCCGTGCCCATTACTCAGGTTCCACTACCATCAGCTTATTGATTCATCTCTGCTCCACCATATCGCACTCGAGATTGTGTGTCGACAGACAGATAGGCAGATAGGTCATTGGCATGGAATATAGACTCCAGAAATAGATCCACGCTTACACGGTCAATTGATTTTCCACAAAGGGGACAAGATAATTCAACAGGGGAAAAATAGTCTTTCTAACAAATGGTGCTGAAGCAACAAGATTTCCATATGGAAGAAATGAACTTCAGCCTCTATCTCACACCATGCAAAAAAAGTTAACTTGAAGTGGATCCTGGACCTGAATATAAGGGCTAGAACTATTAAATCTGTAGATGAAAGTGTAGAAGTAAAAACTTCTAGGAAAAGAACTTTTACAACTCAGTGATGATAAGACAAACCACCCAGTTAAAAAGGGGGCGAGAGGGCGCCTGGGTGGCTCAGTCGTTAAGCGTCTGCCTTCGGCTCGGGTCATGATCCCAGAGTCCTGGGATCGAGTCCCACATCGGGCTCCCTGCTCAGCGGGGAGTCTGCTTCTCCCTCTACCCTTCCCCCCCTGCTCGTGATATCTCTCTCTCTCTCTCTCTCAAATAAATAAGTAAAATCTTTAAAAAATAAATAAATAAAATAAAAAGGGAGCAAGATACTTGGACATAGACTTCACAAAGGAAACAATATCAATGGCCAATAAGCTCCTAGGAGAGCGTTCAATATTCATCAGTAATATGCAAATTAAAACCATAATGAGGTTCTCCTGCACCCCAGGAGAATGGCTGATGTGAAAGACTAGCAACGCTCAGTGTTGTGGAGGATGTGGTCAACACAACTGTCATACGTGGTCATGGGCACAAGCTTTGGGAAGATGTTTGGCCATCTCTTATCAAGTTAACCACTCACCTTCCCTGTGACCAAGCAATTCCACTTCTAGATATTTATCTATGAGAAGTAAAAACGTATGCCCTTTAAAACATATGTACAAGGACCTTCATGACCACTTTACTCCTATTAACCAAAAACTGAAAACAACCCAAATTTCCATCCATAGGAGAGTGGATGAAGAAACTGTGATGTAGTCATACAATGGAATACTACCTAGAAAACAACAAACTCCTGATAAATGAAACCGTATGCATCTTAAAAGCATTATGTTGAGTGAAACAAGCCAGACACAAAAGAGTGCACACTGGTTCTATATACAAAGTTTTAGATCAAGACAAACTATGCTGATGGAAGCCACAACAGCGCCTGTCTCTGGGGCTGGGGTAGGTGGGAAGATGAATCGGGAGGATATGAGTAAACGTTCCTTGGTGTTAGAAATGCTCTGTGTTATGATATGGGCTTGAGTCATGCACCTTTACCCATTTGTCAAAACTCACTGAATGGTATACTTGAGATCCGTGCATCCCACTTTATATAAATTTTACCTTAAAAAATAAAGGGTAAGGAAAAAATCTAACACATTAAAAAAAGAAAAAGGATGAAGGGTTAAATCTCAAATGTGTAATCCTTGGTAAGTACACATTTGAGATGCAAGGGGCACTAAAAAATGCTTTTCAAAAAGTGATACTTCCCACCCCCCCTTCTCTTATTGTTTGTTGTTGGTGTAATAATGACTTGATTTTTAAAAGTGATACCACTGAGTTACACAATAGGGGAGGAAGCAGGAATTGATTTAAGAAGAAATATAGGGCTATGAGTACATTTTGAGAAAGATTTGAGGTCAGAGAGGTCTACAGCAAACCATGTTACACTTGCTTTACTGAGTTCAGACGTAATAAAGTGGAAGGAGTCTTTTAAGTCATTTACGTTTATTATAGAATCATCATCTAACCCAACAAATATAAAACCAATCTATCTAAACTATTTTTTTTTTTTTTTTACTATACACACTTTTCCTTGAGGTGGGGTTAGAAATCCACAGTACGTTAACTTTCAGATGGCTTCATGAAAATTAATAAAAGGAAACCT